TGGGATACTCTGCAGAGTGTGAAGGGGAAACAAGGACGCGGATTAGGCGAGGAGCTTTACCTCGCTTGAGTAAAACCTCAATCGGTCGGCCTCCGTCCTTCCATTTCCATGAACCGAAGTAGAGGACAGGCAGAGGGCCTCCTCTCGCATCGATGATCGCAGTGCTCTGGCCGCAGCAGCCCGCTGCATGATGGGAATCGAGGAAGATGATGCCCCGACCACCGCTGCATTCAATCTTGCCGCCCTCTTCAGCATTGTTGTCGTTCACGTCCTATTCTCCTTGTCCTCAGATGCAACTGATGCAGACCTCTGCACCTCCAGATGATCCCTCTTCCTCGGGCCGAGTTGTCTCTAATGTGTCAAAAAAGATGAGAGTACAACTCGTAACCCCGCGCCGGGTTCGAATCCCCGCGGCGGCATTACTCATTCCTGGAATTGCATAGTCCTGTGGTGGGAATTTCGAGAGCAAACGCCACAGAAATAATCACGTGTTTTAGGGTAGAATAACTTATCATTTGCCTTCATCTCTGAGATCTCTGCACAACATCACCTGCACTGCTAGCTGCACAACCCCTCCATCTTGCACGAGAGATGATAAAACTCGAAACGCTCACATGCCTGGCCATGTTGCCGTTCCAATTCGTCAGTCTTCTGCTGCCCTGGTGGATGAAGCCGCTCGGGTGGCACAAGAACGTGGAAGAGATTATCTTCTTTGCTCGCATCCTCTATCTCAACGCCTACACATCGTCCCGCGCTGCGATCTTGGCCAAGCCGCCAGCCTCTACGCAGCGAAGAGGCGAGCAGCAGGCTCTTCTGCGGTGGCGTCTGGAGCACGTCGTTGCGTGGATGGACGAGGTCGGCACGACGCTCCTCTGGGCTCTCTTCCTCTTCCTCCTCTTCCTCGTAGCCTCTGTTCCCATCCTCTGCATCACCACCCAGTTCGTGCTGCTCTTCAACCGCATCTTCGCTACCCCACCGCCGCCTCCCAACAGAAAGACGCAGGTCGTAATCGATGAGACTGATCCCCAGTACGGCATGAAGTTGCGCCAGCGCAAGGGCAAAGAGGTCGACAGCAGCCCCTCTTCCGCCGAATCCGCTTTCGCCCTCTCCCTCACTGAAGAAGAGCAAAAGCGATTCGAGGAGCTCATCCACTCGCCTGTGGCCCAGAATCTGCGGATGGTGGCGATCCTGCCTCACAGGATCGCCGTTGCCGTAGGCGAGCGCTTCATCGACTACGTGCGCTTCCGACTGCTCTGAGTACCATTTTATTTCTTTTTTTAAAAAAGAAGAATAATAATCAATAAATCCAAATATTTGTTTTATCTTGCCGGCCAGCAACGGAAAGAACAAGGAAAGGACGTGCGTGATGGAGACGACGGCCGACCAAGTGTTTAGTGGCGGGGATGAGCTTCTCCTTCATGTCTTCTCATTCCTTTCATGCCAAGATGTGTGCAGAATCGCGCCCACCTGCCGCCAATTTGCCCGCATTGCCAGCGACGACTCTCTGTGGCGCTCGTTCTGTTTCCGCACCTCCCTTCCTCCATCTTCCTCCCCTTCCTCTACTTCATCTCCTCCAGCTCTCGTTTCCCTCTTCCACTCGTTCACCGCGCGTCAGGCGGTGGGCGCCCAACACTCGACCTGGCGGCAGCTCTTCCACCAGCGCTTCTGGTTCGGGCCTCGGGTGCGCGCCCTTGTGCGGCACGGCAACTACAGCCAGCAGAAGGCCGACGTCCTCTGCGCATTCCTCGAGGTATGCTCATGCCCGAGCCCCCGGCGTGTCGTGTGTCATGCATGATGCGTCGTGCGTCGTGTCGCGTGTTTGACCTCACGCTCACACGCGGTCGTGCAGGAACTGCTGCGGCCGCCCTATCTCCTGGCTGCCGTGGTGGC